AATGTGGGCGGTACCAAATCAAAAATTAGATTAGATTTAGATATTTCAGAATGAGTCTTCGTGCAGTGTGGCTGATAAAACTTCCTACAGCTACCAACAAGTCTGCTAATGTATTTTATTCCAGGTAGTAGCAGACTAGCATTATTTTACTTGCTTTTAAAGTTACAGTACCAGTAGCACTATCGTTATTAATATTATGTAAAACAGACTTTGTTGTATGAATTATGGTCATCTATCTACAAACTTATTTAACCTTATAAACCTCTATATCTCAAATAGAACTTTAAATTAGTAGCCTACCAAAATCTTGTTTGTTTACAGTAAGTGGATCTCATATGTAGACAGATAAACAATGGGCATTATTCATGAATATTGCAAGTACATGTACCAGAGTTTAGTTCTAAATTAATAATAATATGAATAAATTGTTTTCCTGACTTATTAAAATTACCGATAATTTTTTTATCATCTTGTTTAGTTTGTCAGTACTCAATTTTCTATACAGGTACGTAGGGCTCACACTGTCGGTCGCTAAAGTTGCAATTTGCTATAAAAATTTGAAAGTGGCTATAAAATATTGATTTTGTTGACAAAAAAATTGATTTTGGCAATGACGTTTTGGGGTACTACTGGCAATTCTTTTTGAGAACTGGCGGAAAAAATCTTAAAATTCTAATGGTATAATATCCTAGATTAACCATTACATTAAGTGTGTCAATCACAATCATATGGTGGCATACTATAAACTAAACAACTCGCTGAAAATCTGGATCGCTTCAATGAGCAATACTAACCAATTTTCTCAGATTAATGATTAGTTGATTGATAATTGCCAATGATCTATATTATTATAGAGTCTATCTCAAGTCATTATTAAAACCTAATAATTAATCCAAGCAGTGATAATTTGATGTTTCGTTTCATCTTTTTAAAAAAATGGGAAGAATCAATATGGTCGACAATTCTTTTTGAAGAGAATTAAATATTTTGATAGTTGAATTCCATTTACTGTGGCTTCAAATGGCATGTATAATATACAAGCAAGCATAAATGGATATTATTATTTCAAATTATATCACCAATTGTCAGAAACGAAAGAACGAGTCGAATAGCGACACGTCTCGATTGAGAAAACGGCCCACAATTTGTTTCATTACCGCCGCCAATCCGCCATAATGCTCTAAAGTGAACAACTGATTGAAATTTCTATCAGGGATTCTGATTCTGATACCGTTATGGTACCTGAAAATAACAATAGGCCTATTGTACATGCAAAACATAAATTTATAGAAAAGGGGTGAGGTTTGACATGCAAATACTGAAAATATATTGTGTAATACAGTGTGCGAAAAGATTAAAGTCACCAAAAATAAAATCTGATCTTTATAAATCATCTCAAAACTGTGCTAATGTATTATGTAAAGACATAATAACCTACCCAAGAAATAAAATTTGGCAGATAAAATATTTCAGTTGGCAAAAACAAAATATAAACATCTTTTTAAATAAAAATTATTATCCATTTTGGCGGAAAAAAATTGAAAGCCAGTATGAGCCCTGTTGTTAATTGTAACCCCAATCCTGCTGGGGCGTTGGGAGACCAAAGGCTTTGATGTATTAGCATTGGATCATGAATGTGACCAGGAGTAGAGTCCTCGGTTTATGGAGGGGGTGGGGGTGGGTGGATTAAGTGAAATGAAATGAAATGGGGTTTAACGTCCTACTGTTCTGCTCCTAACCTGGGCTAATGAAGACGGGCATACGCCATACAGTGTGCTATGAGGGAAATTTTGCGCTACGGCCTACTCTTATATCAAATTCCAACTGCCAAGGGATCTTTTACGTGCACGCCAATGTGTACACGGGACCTCGTTTTTTCGTCCCCTCCGAACGACTAGACAGCTGTCCATGTCAGGCCCTCCATCCTGCATCACTGACAAGGGGGAACCACGGCGGAAAATCTGAATGAACTTTCTCGGCCAATGCAGGGATCGAAAACCCGACCTCCAGGCTAGTGAGCCAGCGTCTTAACCACTTAGCCACGTGATCCGCCGGGTGGTTTAAGCTCTGTCACTGAGTCAAGCAGCATGGTTTCAATTCAAGGCGTAGGTCCAATCTCATAAGGGTGCTAAAGACCCCTACATGCAACTGAATTATTGAAATGAAACTATATGTTAGTCCCAAAATGACCTAGTTTGTGTCGAGTGGACGTTAAACCCCATTCCAAGAATATAAAATGTAGACAGCAATATTAATACATCCATAATACAGTAGCTTGACAATGTTATTAAAGACACATTATGCCTTTAAGAAGTCTATTGTGATGGGTTTTCCCTTTCATGTCAGTATTGTTTATACCCAATCTATATAATATTTGGATAACCATCAAGTTATATTTCTATCTGCAATCATATGTTTGTCACCATCATTACTGGATTACAAAAAAATAGCATATAGATATTCTGTTACCAATAAAATGGAAATAGTCTTTGTTTTCCTTCCACATATGCTTGATATCTACTTATTTCAATTTGGCCAGTCCTAAATCTTAATGAGAAATTATCTCTTCTTCTTTCTGAGTTAACTTTTCCACCTGCTTGATGTCCAAGAATAAATTAAAATATGTCTGGAATTAACAATGAATACCAATTGTATTTTAACTATAATAAAGCTCCATCATTATTTATAATGATTATGAAAAATAGTTGTGTTTCTGACAATTATTGTTATTATTCAGAATTTTTATATCATAATATCGTGCTATTTCCACATAAATGGCTCAAAAGTGCTTTACTTGCACCAAAAAAAGTGTGGATGTTAAAAAATTGGATACAATTATCAAATGACACAGATAGTTAAACATAAGCTCTTTTAAACAAATTATGAGCTTTAAGACTATTGCTGCAGTGAATTAAATATTGAAGTTAATTCCACCAATAGGTATTAATGGAGAAATAATCAAAAGAACAGGGAAACCTTAATATGAAGTACACAATATTACCAGTAGACTGTACAACAATGAAATATTAAAACTTAGAATTGTTAACTCTTCAAATTAACCAGAAGTGGTATCATTTGTTGATTTTGTTCTAAACTGAGTATGCACATGCTGCTTTTTTCATGGCAATTGATTTTGTTTTTACTTTTTGTAACTAAATTAGTTTTCATTATATATTTCAGAAAATTTCCATTGGTAGAAGAGAGAGCTAAAACCATTGATAAAGAAAACTATATAGCATCACCTAATACAGATCAGTTTATGCAACATGTTATTTTAGAAGTGGGAAGAACTAATACTGCAAAGGTGGGTTGCTGAAAACATTCTATGCACTTTCTCCTATGAACTCAGTAAGTTAGGTTGAGGGTTCGATCACAGTGTTAGCAAGGATGGAATGAAAAATGTTAAACAATCAATACAAGTATATTTTTTTTCTAATTAAATGTTAGATAATCAATACAAGTAAATTTTTGCTGTGAAAATTGAGGCATGGAGGGTGGGGGGGGGGGAAGGGGTGTATAAATCATTGTTCTAGTATTGAAAAAGTTCCAACAAAGCAGAAATTTTTGCCTTTAATTAACAAATTAAGACACTGGCTGTAGGGTCAACAGGGTAACTATCATTCACTGTTTAAAAACAAAACGTTTCTCTTTAATCTGTAAGCAGGTGGCTGTACATAGATTTGTTCAGTGGATGACAAATATCCTCATAATGTCTCAGCCAGCATCTAATATCTTAACTGAAAACAAAAGTATTTCTATACTCTATACGGGACAAGAATCTGCTACAGCTAGAGGTCTCCTTTAAGTAAAATACATATACCAAGTAATGTTTGTTTTTAGTTTATAGCTAGTCGTGATTCGTGTCAGAAAGAAGATGAAAAACCAGTATTTGACATAGATATAGGTAATGGAGAGAAATTATGGCCAGTTATTGTTATTGAACAGGTATAATAAAGAATTTGGTTTGTTTCTTTATTTCAATTTTCAACAACTAGTATCTTTCTGGTTGTTAAGAGCACTGATGGTCTCTATGAGCAACAGGAAAAATAAGTGTTTAAATAGTTATTTAAGTACTTGTTATTCAATGTCATTTAAAACTAATGAAGTTTAGTCAGTATTTTCTTTCCTATGAAATATTTCTTATTCAATAAAATCAACTAATAATGAAATTTAAAATAACAGGTGTGATGATTTGAAACATGTGCTATTTCTAGAAACCAGAAAATACAGGGGTGGTACCAGGAATTTTTGCAGGAGGGGGTTTGCCAGGTTCCTGAGAAAATGTATCTTCCCCCCCCCCCCTCCTCGGCTTGAAATTTTTTGAGAAATACATGGTCTCTATCGTCATTTTGGCATATATACATACACATTGAGCTTTTTAAACAGAGAAATCCAACATCCTGTATTCCTGTTTGACATCAATTTTTATTATGAATTAATACGATGACATTGTGATTCAATTTTATTGATGCAAAGCATTAATTGTGATATCACATAATGTCTATATCATTATCTCGCACTTTGAGTGCCCATCCTGTCGCACCATCTGACGCTAAAGGATAAAGCACAATTATGACAATTTTCTCATAAAAAAGGTTGTTTTACAAAACATTTTGTGGATCCGCGCCTGAAATATTCCCAAAATTGATCTTATCAGTTGAAACAAATATTCAAAGAGACTCAAGTAATGTGTGGCATGGAGTGCCCAACCTCGTGGGTTTTTACTGGGTCCTCCGGTTTACTCTCACTGCTAAAGACCCTTATGCACAAGCAAAGTATTAAAATAAAATTGTACCATAATTAAACATGTTAGTCCTAAAATTACCTAGTTTGTGTTGATTGGTTGCTAAAATCCTATTCCCCATCCCCCACCCCTTGGCTTTGCCATCATGACATCGTAACAATTGAAATAGAGGACTGATGAGTTTCAAGTTTAAACTATGAGGGTTGGATGAAAAGTTCTAAATAAAGGAAGGGGCATCATCTGTAAAGTAGAGACCATGACGGCATGTATCTGTGTTGGAGTTAGTCCTTTCAGTTGATGCTACTTGATGACTGCCCTTTAGCCAGTTTTGTCCATTTCTGGTGATTTGAATGGGTAGGTTCACAAGGTGGTCTGCTACGACGACAATAATAACTATACAGTTGCAGTTCTCATGTCTATGATTCATTCAATGATTGTATTTGTAGGTGGCAAAACTTTGTTTCAACCCATGCCAATTGATCTATACTTTTCAGACTTAGAACTTTTCAGCCAGCCCTTGTGCAATTTACTTTACTTCTCATTCTTCTCAATATTTCAAAGTAGCTCATCTATTCGCATAGGTTTATTAGGGTAATAATTTTGAAGTATATATAGTTACATGTATACCTGATTTGGCTGAATATTAATAGCACATGCACTTTGTTTCCTCTTTTTCAGAATGGCATGTTGTTTTGTTGTTTAACATTTGTTGAACAAGGTACTGTAAATAGATCACCACTTATAGCAATGTAAGATTTATATACATCTGTCATTTAACATTATGCATTAGCGCTTTGAAGATCTTTGCCATTTGGTAAATGAACGTTATTCAATTTGTAAGTTATTTGACCATAAAATTACAATAGAGGTATGTAAAATTAGACTGTTTTAAGATTCATTTTGAGTTGTACACATTATTAATTGGCTTTAGTGATGTTTAAAGAGTTCAAAGGTTGCTTGGATTATTGATAATTGGGAGAGTCTAGGGTTATTTTGAATCTGATATTATATAACTTGTGACCAGCTCTAGCTAAATGAGATGCATGGGTCAGAAATTCAAGATACAGCTAAAGATATTATATTTAACTACTGTATTCAAAAACAACCAAAAACAGTAAGTTGTGTGCTCTTAATGACAAGTTTGCCCCTTTGAGCTTTTGGGGAAAATAGTAAATAAAGTCATGTTTAAGACATATGCTGAAAATCAAAACCGGTATAAATATAGTTGAACAGTTCTTGGCATATCTCAAATAATTTCTCGTGGAAAGTGATAATGCCTCTTTTAAGAAAAAGTCCTTATTTTTTAGAGACTTAATTTTATAATAATTTGCACAATCAGTATGAAATACTGAAAAAAATGATCACACAAATTTCTACATGGAAAACAAAAGTTAGTTCATAATTATTATATGAAATGATTAAATGTGATGTTACGTAAATTCTCTATATAGATAATTAACTTGATACAAGTATTAAAAAATTACAAGTCAACATCAAATATCTCGAACTGATTTAGAAACTGTTTTTTTCGAACAAAGACAGTATAATGTTGTTCAGCTGTAAAACACACCAATAGGTTTCTTATGAAAAAGGATGTTTGTTGTATGATTTCAATTTATTTTGACATTATGTTTTCATAGATGTATATATGTAATGTATATGAAAAAGAAGTTGATCGTATTAAAATATCAATATGTCAATCAGGTCACTGTGTATAAACAATGCCTTGCATATTGATTTTCTATGCCTTGACAGGTCAGCATTGATAAATTTTATGCCTTTCTTATTTTTGACAGCCCAAGTATATCTTTGGCATTTTGCTTTCTTAGAAGTCTGACAGATTTTATTAGAGTGACATCTAGTCAAGAGGTATGGATACAGAATAGATTTTTTAAAACAAATATCATGTCCTACTTTTATGCCATAACTGGACTCAGAAGGTGGGTGGATGGTGGGGTGACACCCTAAATAAACTGTTTTTCACTATTATGAAATTAAATGGGATTTAGCTGCACCGACTGGAATAATGAAGACGGACGTACACCATAATCTCCATCCATCTGTCAGGAGTTATTATACCATATGTGCATTTTTATGTGATGCAAGGCAAAGTTGTCATAGCAATTTTGTAAAACAAAGAGAATATTGTTCATTTGGGCCTACAGGAGAGAGAAAAATGGGGTTTAACTTCCACTCGACACAACTAGGTCATTTTGGGATTAATGTATGGTTCCATTTTATTTGAATAATTTGCTTGCGACTAGGGGTCTTTAGCTGTGAGAGGAAGTCATAGAAAGCACACTGATGTTGGACAGACGACCCTACTTATTGTCATGTACAAGTGTGGGACCAAAACCACACCGCTTGACTTAATGACAAATCAATCAGCCACCCAACCCCCCGTTGGGCTAAGGAGGAGGAACCCTCTTAAAATTTGGAACATATGAAATTGTGGCATCGAAAGAAAATCATCAAATATCAAGATTTTCTGATCATAATTTTCAAACATGTTATTTTTCCATTAACATTCTGAAAATTGAAGATTGTGAACATAATGCATTGGATTTTGATTGGATTGTTCATTGGGGCATTAGAAGGAACCCTATTGAAATTCAGAAAAAATTTGTAGTTGTCCTCCTGTTTACTTTGAAATTCACAAAAGAGGACAAAGTTTTAAGTGGAATATTTTAAAACTTAGTGAGATTTTTCATTGGGGCATAAGACAGAACTCTGATGTTCCATTTTAAAATTTTAGCATCGTAAATTACAAATGTATTTCACTGCTTAAGTTATTTTTCTATCCACATTTTTATATGCCCAAACGTAAAACCATATATAGTCGTCGCCCCTCGCTGTCTGTCTGCCCATCAAAAAATTTATCGTTAACGCAATTTGGTTAAGTTTATATTATACATCACTATGGACCGAAATGGGTCACTATGACTGGCTAGAAACTGAATGAATTCTAAAGTCTTGGAAATAGAATATTTTCATACAACTACTATTTACATCAGTGAAACATATATGCTTTCTTTTTCTAGGTATTTTTTTATGGTTGTCATTGTTGCATCTTGTGGACATTGACCATAAGTTACAGATTGACCTCTTGAATTCAAATTCAATAAAATAAAATTATGTTTTTTTAATTTTTATTTATTAATTTATATTAAGTTAAATATCAGATTAAATGAATTACCAGCATTTATAAATGAGGCAGCACCATTTGGTTCACCAAGAGATACGGACTGTGACAGTATATTGGCTAAATTATCAGATAAATCATCATCTATACCTAAATCCCAAAAGGTTGGTTATTGTACTTTATTCTTTAAGTTTCTATGTCTATTTCGTCTGTCAATGTATTACTTGTGGTATCATCTAAGATTGTAGAATTCTTCTTCCCCTGTGACTTTGCTTGTTGTGATTTTTCCTGTCACCAATTAATTTTAAGCAAGGTAAAATTGATTATCACAATATTCCCTGCTCTCGAGAATAACAAGAATTGAAAACTGCATATATTTTATGGTTTAACCACCAACCTGGAATCTAGATATCATTTTTTTTACGATATCTGTTGGTGACGGATGCATCTGATAAGAGGCTCATATCGAAATAAGAATAATGATTTGAAATTATGTTTTAAAAAAATAAGTAGCCTAACAGACGATTCTAACCCTACTCTGTTATATCTATCCTGTCATGAAATGCTGTATGGAATCTGTATTGTCTAATATTGCAAAGTAAATTAAGTCAAATTAAGTTTATTGTAGGATTTAACATGTTTTGACAGATTTATTTGTTTATTTCAGCAACCTGCATGGAAACCAGTCTTACATACAGGAAAATCTAGTATTTATCTATCAGTATCAGAGTGTATACAAGCTGTCCAAGTATGTAGAAAATGTCATATTAATAGTTTAATCTGAGAGTATAAATGAAAACTGTTTCATGATGACCTTCTGACCGTTTCAAAATGAATTAAGACCCCTGGTTTCATCCCCATTTTTATCGGACTCTAAAAATGAGGTAATTTTTCAACCAAATCAGGCAAATATTTATCATCATGAATTCAGATTTTATGACAATAGAGAACAGATTGCTACATGATAGAATCTGTAGACAAAACAAATGTACATTTCTTCCAAATTGAACTTTCTACCATTTTGCAATCTACTATAGTTACTCACCAGACAAGTGTTTGTATTTTAAGATATTTGATATTTTCCAACAAAATGAAAAACATGCGCAATTACTTTAGTTGTCTAATGAATTGTATTTTATAGTGTGAACATGAAGATGTTAAAGATGTGTGGGAAGTATATGGTACTATTACATGTAAAGCTGAACTAGAGGGTGCTACACCAGATGTTACACTAAATATATCCCATTTAAATGAGGGTATAGTCGCACCATTAGATCATCTTGTTATACATCCATGTGTACAGAGTGCTGATTCTCATATTATACCCAAAGGTGAGACAATTGCTGTTTTGGGACTGGGTGTGTGTGGCAGTGAAACATTACAATTTCGAACATTACAATTTTACAGCTATTATCGGTTTTAACAAATTAAAACAATTCAGACAACATACATACAGTGGCTGGGAATGAAATTACAATTGTGAACATTACATTACTCCTAATATCGGTTTTAACTAAAATAAACAGTTCAGACATCAAACATATATACTCACTAATGCATGATTGCTTATGAAGCATGTTTTTCATTTTCAGGTGTGTGTCCCATTTATATAATATATAAATTTTTCAGAGGTCCTATAATTATTTTTGGATGCATTGATTATATTACCCGTTGTAAGATGAAGATGTCTTATCGAATTTCATTGACTTCTATCGAACTCATGAGGTCAACTGTCAGATTATCGCCATTCAGGGGACATATATTATTTCTCTTATGTCTTTCTTGTAAATCATAATTTTTTTTATTTTTTTTTTTATTTTGAGTGAAGCTTCTATCAGTACAGGCCTGGGACTGCACAGAGCAGTGCATGCTTATAGGTGGTTCCGGGATCCATTCACTCGATTTGATATTTGATGTTTATCAATCGGATTAAATCACAGTTCCTATTTCGTTTCGTTTTTTATAGTTCAAAAATTTGTTTTACTTGTCTTTACTACACTAGGATCTGGATGATGTGAGGGTTTAGCCAATGAAACGGTCTGTTACAGCAAGCTTTTGGCATGTGCTGTACAGAACTGTACACCACTAGAAACAACAATGCTGATTTGTTGATCAAATGTCTGACGTCATAGGATCAAAAGCCGTTCGTAAGACCACTGATGCGAGTTATCACTACAACCGGTCAGATCTTTATGTAGTGTAGGCCATCGAAAGTATAGAAAAACAAAACGAAATATAGATCTGTATATTGGCTGTTTATTTCTTGCAATGTCTATAATTTTATGTAGTTTGTTTTGTTCGCAGGTTTGTCTTGTCGGTTTTGTTTTGTGTCTAATACGGTTCTCCTGCACTTACAATTAGAGAGTTAATGCCCTTGATTACTTTGAAAAGTCTTGTGGGCACTGTAGAGGCTAATTCATCATTGACCTCAAATTTATATGCAGTCTTTATTTTAATGAGATGAAGAAGGATATTGATTTTCAATGATTTTCGATTATTGCCAAATTAATTGATAAATAGAGCGAAAAATTTGGTATCTCACATGATGTATTTTGGAAATATTTCCAGGTAAAATGAGATGATCTCCATTATTAGAATAATCCTGAAAACATAAATAAAATCAAAATTGATTTTTTATCACTAAAATTTTTAATAATTCTGTCTTGTATTTTCTTTTCTAACACACAGACAATAAAATTGTTCGACCAACACCAAGAAGAGTTCGTTTTATTCCACCATCAGATAGTTTTACTCTGTGTCATTATACAGTTTGTAGTATACAAGAATTACCTATATTCGGTGTTTATCATATGAAGGTAGATAATAATTTACAAAACATATAATAAAGATCTCTCTTTCTTAGAAAATATTTCATATACATATTTAAGTCATCTCAATTCTCATAAATGACTGCATTTGCGTCTTCCTTAGAAAATAACAGATGTGGTATGTAAGATTTATATAAAGATCAGAGCTGGCCGTTCTAGCTACAATAGTTCAAATATAGATAAAGAAAAATGAATATATTGAAAATTTCATTAAAATTACTTTATTCTGAGCAAAATTATGAGTGTTTAAGGGATTCACAAAATGTAGGGAAGATTGTTCATTATCGTAGCAATGGTACTTGACAATCCATTTTAACGTTAAATTTTTAAATCACAAGGTTACTTGAATCTCGGCCATGTGGTGGTCTAGAGATTTGATTATAGGCTTATTATGTGAATAAATGTTTAAATAATAGTTTATGTAACATTTGAAGCCAAAATAAAAACCTGTAATACTAATAGGCAGATTTAGCTCTTATATAATGCATCTGTAAGTTTTCTCAATTATAATTCCAATGAATAACTAAAATGTTGTCTTCCTTAGAAAGTAACAGTATTTTATATTTAAGTCTTCTCAATATGAATTCCCATAAATTATAAATTTTTAGTATATATTCACACAGATGTATATACAGTACCTGGAATTCAAACATGTCAGATATGGTGGCTTATTATTTATGAATTTGTATTAATTTATGTTTCAGTGTGATCAGAAATCTGCTAAAATATCTGTTACATTACAATTAAGTGACCAAGTTAAAAATAGTTTTGAATATGCAGAACTTCAATTGCCATTCTTTAATAGGTATTTTTTTTAATTACATACTTTTTCTGTTTGTATTTGAGGGGAAAGAAGATTTTTATGTTTCAGTGGAGGAAATCCACTAGTTATTTTGGAAATTCATTGACATAGATGTATTACAAATTATAAACAGATAAATTGTCTCTTATTTTTCTCCTGTTTGGCATGTCCAGTTTTGTTTATTTATTTGTCTAGAGTTAATGAAAAGGGTTTGAATCTTAATTTGCTATGCTGATATAAAGCTTAGACACCAAACAATAGTCATACTATGGCCGAAATAGTTCCTCTAGTGGTAGCAGTTAATCACAGTTACTTCCCTTGTATCTTATGGTACGGAATAGGAGACATTCTGAGTTATAAACCTTCAATACATCCTTACTTAGTTCTTTCTTAATCAGGATGTAAATTTGTATCATGTAGATGTGTGAAAGGCATGTTGTATAAGTATATATGTTATATTTACAGGGGTATTATATCTATAGTTGATAGTAATCCATCACAAGGTAGTCTTCTAGTATCACCTGATAGAAGAATACTTGTATGGAATATAGGTAGGTAATACTAGTATTCCATTATAATCCACTCTTAGAACAACATTGCAATAAGAATGAACCCCCACTCCCGCTTTTTTTATGTTCTTTTTAAAAACCCTGAAACTTGAACGGGTCCTTGTTTTAAAGATGTCGTTCCAGAGTTTCAGTGCTGTTACCGAAAAAGAGCGTTGAGCAAGGAGTGTTTTACTTTTTGCTATTTCAAGGAGGTGAAGATTTGAAGAACGAAGTAGGTGTAAGGGTTTGTTATTGTTAAGAAGATATTTGAGATATACAGTCGATTCACAGATTCACAGAGGACAGGGGTGATCACTGATAGGTGAACGATAAGGTGTTAGTGAAACGATATGGACAGCGTTATTCTAAAAGAGTTTGAGAGAGTATAAGCTTTTTGCTGGAAGACCAACAAGCTATGAGTTACAATAATCGAGTCTGGATGTAATAAAGGAGTTGACAAGTACTTTACAGGTTTCAAAATTAATATAAGAATGAATTCTACCAATGTTATACAGGTGAAAAGTGCCTATTTACAAATAGATGAGATATGGGATTTCAAGTCCAGTGCAGAGTTGAAATTGACATTAATTTTTACAGAATTATATGTTAACTTAAAATTTGTATTACATTTAGGTTTAAAAAGTCGTATCCACTGTCTTCGGTCCCAAAACGACGGTTTACTTGAAATAACAATATCAAAGTGTCTGTGGTGTCGAAAGCGGCACTAAGGGTAAGCATAACTGTTGTCCATCTAACTGATAGTGTCATTTTGGACTCAAATAAGGGAAGTCTCAATGCTGTGACACTTCTTGTAGGCAGACTGAAATGACTCATCTATGATCCTTGAATCTGGAAGCTACAGCCTTTTCTATGATTTTAGATAACAGGTTACGCCACATTTTGCAAGCGATGGATAGAGAATAAGCTAAAAACAAAAAGATTTTTTGTACAATCAGGGGCCATAATCCAGAAAGTTATGGTCTTAAATGCGCAAATATCAAAAGGGACTGAGATTTTGGGAATATATGTGTGATTATCAAAAGGAACTAAGATCTTTATGATAAAAACATATATTAAAAGTTTCATCCAAATCGGATAAAAACTGTGGCTTCTAGAGGGTCCACAACCTTGATATACTATATTTTTACACCATTTGTGAACAATTTAAATCGGATAAAAATTGTGACCTCAATATTGACCACAAGCTCAAAACGTGATTTTTCGTACAATCAAGGGCCATAATTCAGGAAGTTACGATCCGATATGTGCGAATATTGAAAGGATACAAGATATTTGGGTTATAAACATGCATTTCAAGTTTCATCAAAATCGGATCAAAATTGTGAACTCTTAGAGTGTTCACAAGCTAAAAACGTGATTTTTCGTGCAATCAGAGGCCATAATCCATGAAGTTATGATCCAATACATGCGAATATTAAAAGGAACCGAGATCTGTGGGAGATAGACCTATATTTCAAGTTTCGTCTAAAACGGATAAAAATTATGACAGGGACGACAATATACGTCCTACTCCTTGTCACTTACAAGCGGAGAATTGAAACCACTCTACTTGACTCAATGACAGACCTTTGATCCAAGGTGCACGTGTTAACCACACATGTTAACCATTCGGCCACCCAACCCCCCAGGACCAGCCAAAGAATCTCGGCAAGTTTGAAAAAAATCTCAAAATATCTGACCTGTATAGTGTAAAAAAGTCTGCAGGCATACTGTGGATTTATAAAAAAAAAAGGATGATCTTGTCTGAAAGAAACTAATGTGTCATAGAAAATAAGGATGATCTTATCTGAAAGAAATTATTGTGTCATATAAGAAATAAGTTTTGTTTTTACAGTACATAATGTACTATTTTACTGAGTTTTAAATTCTTTTAGCATTGAAACTTTTTCCATCAATAAGTATTTAAAATATTAAAATGTACTTGTTGTTTTTTAGATTGAAGATATGTGCAAATAAAGCATCCTCTTCCGGTTTATCTGCTTATAAACTAAAGTGGTACTTGTTTTAGTCTTTAGAAAATTCTACTATGCTAAAAAAAAATCAGGATGCTTGAGGAATATGGAATGGAAAGAACATTTAACATTTGTTTGTTCACAATAAAAATATTGTGCAAAGCTGAGATTTGCTTTAGAAATAATATAAAGTTTAAATTTAAAAGATATGCGCATTTCATATTTTGATATATGATTTAAACTGTAGAATATAATTTAGACAATCTTATTTTTGGACAAAAATATATCCATTAAAGTCCCTGTAGAGCAGTTTAGATGGATGAAATTTCAATTCATCATATCTTTGTAAATACTAAATGACCGATATTCCTGTTAGAGATTCATCTTTCACATTATTGTAGTTTGCAGGTGATTCTATAACACTAAAATGATACATCAGAACCTTAATTAATTACCTAGTTTTATCTTGTCAGTTGACTGACTGGTAAATTCTGAAGATGGCTACTTTAAAGGCCAGTCATTAAAGACTGGAAAATATGTGCCACTGATCATTTTCAATTCATTTATTACATTGCATTACAGTAACCAAATCAACCATCATAAAAATATACTTCAAAGGGCAATCAAAGGAAACATACTAATAATATTTCATTATTAAAACTACATGTATCTTTACTCCAAGTATATTACTGATTTTAAAGTAGTATACATGGTATGATAGATGTAGAACATATAATCTAAAAACAGCTTTACATGATCTGTTTATCATACTCTGAATATTTTCAGGCCAGAAATTCCCAAGTAAAAGCTTAGATGCCTCTTTGACTGCCAATATACAATTTACAGACACTGGAACTAATGCTAATCTTTCAGAAGCAGAGTGTTTCTGTACAGCACAGAATGCCTATTGTCAGGTACAGATATAGTAAAGTTCTTTTTTTCTGATTTACTTTCTTTTTCTGTACAGCACAGAATGCATATTGTCAGTTCAGATAAAGTACAGACCTTTTCCGTTGTTTTTCTGTACAGCACATAATGCTTATTGTTAGGTACAGATATAGTTTTTTTTTCATTTTACTTTCATCAAGAATATTTTAATTGACATCCCTGATGTAAATCTAATAAAGGAAGACAAAAGAAGTTTGAATCTGAATGTTTCTGATGGATTATTACAAATAACTACTGAAATGAATTATATTCCACTTTTGTTTTACGAATTTATTTAGAGATAATACAAAAAACCCAGAAAATCAAGGAAGTTGTTAAATATATTTTCATTTGTTTGTTCAATTCTGAAAAAAAAGAATTCATTTATAGTACCTGGAGAATTCATTTGCTGTTTAGTACTTTTTCTTCATAGTAATTATTGGACACAAGAAAGGTATTGTATATCGTTGCATTTTTAAAATCTCCCAATTAATATGCACATTTCTGTCTGTGTATCTCTACGCCAATTAGAACTGTTCTGGGTATCATGTGTCCAAATGTTGTATCTTGATTTGTGGAAATTTTGAAATGCAAAAGGTTCCATTTCTTAATCTTTAGAAGTTCTTAGATACGCCCTTTTGACACTTCACCAACGATATTCCATTTGATGGTGTTTGTGGATAGTGAATAATACTAGATTATTAGTCATTAAGAATATATTGTAAAATGTCAAAGTCTCCCTCAGGGAAGTCAATCTATAAATAAAATATGATTTTAAATGGAGACTTGCGACGCAAAAGGCGACATGTCACATTAAAAGAAGAAGTATTAAAAAGTTTACGTCACTTTTTTTTTATCTATATCTTAACATTGAAAAAAGCCATGCGGGACGCAGGAAATGGCTGGAGTTGGAATAGAATACCACAGAAAATTGTTTACAGCTAATAATATTTTTCAACTCAGTTTATTTTTTTCAGAATGGATGTTATTTTTATTAGCTTTTATGTACCTTAATTTTCCCTTTCAGTTATATTTTAAGATAAATGACTTTACCTATTCTGGATGTTATATAGATACTAAATCCTTACAAGTCTCACCAAATACCAAATTTAAACTTACAATAAGTATGTATATCTTTATGATAATTATAGGTTTCTAATCTTTTTTAACAAAAAATTTGCTTTTGAAAGTGATACCTGTATAACAAAGATGGAGGACTGTAGATTGTGGTGGACTCGCATCGACATTGGTGGGGGGGGGGGATGCTGGTTGAAAGTTTCTGCAGGTGATGTAGTGCTGTAGGTCATAAGTTATGTCATCTATCTATGCAAGTCATGGGTTTGAATGTGACTTGGAGTATGGTCTCTTGTCTAACCTTATGGTGTTTATCAGTGGGTTCATTCTTTCCTCCCGTCTAAAGACCCTAGTGCACAGATCGGACAAAGTTTTGAAATGAAATATATATATATCCCACATAGTGACCTGGTTGAGTGGATGTAAATTCCATGTCTCTTTTGACACTCAACAAATCCATTCACTTGATTTGATAGTTTACTGCTGGCTTACAATGTTAATGTTTTATCTTATTTTTTCTTGTGTGTTGTAAAATCCCTAGAACCTTACTGATAGTATTTATAGTTTTATATTGTCATCACCCTGTCCATCTGTCTGCTCACAATTTCTTGTTAAAACTCATTAGACTAATATCAAAATTTATTAGGTTGTTCAACTTATTAAAAGGAAGAATTTGATTTTTGGCTATTTCTGTGGACTTTAGATTTATGTCCATTGGAAATGAAATCTTGTTAACTCAAGGGGCCACAATTATCATTGGCTCTCTGGTTTTAAAAGATGCTCCAACTTGTTAAAATGAAAAGTTCTTTTGATTTTCAAGGATTTCAGACAATATTTACTACATGTACTACCAATGTGTGGATGTTATGTTGCCTGGCAACTTATGTTACAAACCATAAGTATTGATGTGGTGTATAATACAACATATAAATCTTTATGATAAGATATAGTTATTTATAATCATTAATGCATTATATATGTATTTCAGATAGAGAATTCTTATCCAAAACTTATAAAATCTGGAATTCTTATGGCGGTGTTTTAACTACAGGAAAGTGAAAGGAAATGCCAGTCTGTGATAATACCCTGGGTGTCATTGATAATATTTGGCTCTTCTCATAATTTCATTTTTAAAATTCAAATTCTTGATAATATTACATAAACCTTTGCCAATTTATATATCTTATAGTATTCAAAAAAGATTGAAATTAACCCTGGTTGCTCAAAGCTGTGTTTCATCCAATTTAGATTCAGACCTTGTGGGTATTATCAAAAAGAGGCTGAAGATCAAAGTCTGCAGCTGGGGGTAGTGGTTTTTGGTGGTTATAATGTTTTTCTTTTTGTACTCATGCACAGAAGCAATCAAATTAGAAATTAAAAATCACTTACTGAAGCAATCTAATTAAATATAAAAATCATTTACTGAAGCAATAATGATAGTACTGACTACTTCTCACATTGCAATATGGTTTCAGTAGGTCTCACTATTATTTATAAAAGATGCAATAAAAAGGAGATTTAGCATCCTACTTTTTTCCATCAACGAGGCTAATGAGGAGGGGCATATGCTATGCAGTGCACTATGAAAGAAAATGTGCGTGGACAGTGCTGTTTCCACCTACACTTGTTTGAATTCCAAATTCTAAGGGTTCTTTTATGTGCACGTCAACATATAGGCCTACATAGGACCTTGTTTTCTTGTACTACCCGAAGGACTAAATGCTGTTGTCTGTCCTGCACCACTAACCTTCTCACTGACAAGGGGGAAACCAGGCTGGAAAACCCCAAGGAACTTTCTCTGCTAGGATTGAATCTTGGACCACCAGCTTACTGAGACAAGCCACGGTGGCCCAGTAAAAGATAAATCAATAAAAGTATCCTATGAAACATATATTGTTTGTTGGACTATAAATAGTTTGTATATAATAACATTATGTGTATAAAATACTTGTATTATAATTTGTATATAAAATAATACAGATATAAACTTTAACTTATACATTGTACTTGTGATTATTTCAGTTTATCATGTATCTGTGATCCCATTATTAATTATAAAAAAGTGATTTTTGCAAGTTAAACGGTAGACCCACATAAATTAATGTACAATATAGTACACAATTGGATTGAATGTTGTACTAAATATTTAGTTATTTATTTGTATATTTATCGTCTTTCGGGGTACTTATTAGACCAAATCAAAGACGTATACTAATAATAAACAGATGGGGTTAGGGTTGTGCTTCACCAGCTATATTCATCCTTTTTTCAACTTCATCGGTGAACTAACCATTAAAAATCAAGTGTCATGTTAAATGTGTTCCTATCAAACGTTATTACGGTGTGATGATCTCAGGAGACAAGAGTCAAGGACCAGGTATGAAATGAAATGGAGTTTAACGTCCTTCTTTTGTGCTCCACCCGGGTGTACGAAGACGAACACACGCTATGCAGTGAGGGAAATTTGCCCGGACAGCGGCTCAACGGCCTACTCAAATTTCAACTGTCAACCAAGGGTTCTTTTACGTGCACACCCATATGTATAAGGGGACTTGGGTTTTCGTCCCAAACGAACTGCTAAACTATTTGGTTTCGAATCCCCGGTTGTACGTGGCAAGGAGTAGGGTCGCCTGTCCAACCTCGTGGGTTTTCTCCGGTTTCCTCCCACCGTAAAGACCCCTACGCGCAAGCGAATTATGTAAATAAAATTAAACCATATGTTAGTCCCGAAATGACCTAGTTTGTGTCGAGTGGACGTTAAACCCCATTTCTCTCTCTCTCTCTCGCTAAACTATTTTCCTCCGACCAGCACCCGTGACAAGGGGAAACCACACTGGAAAACGTAAATGATCGAATCTCGGCTCCCGGCCGGGTATGACGGGAATTTATCATGTTCGAGATAGGAGCTGTATTAATTGCACACTGATCCGCAGTGAATATTTGCTTGGCCGCGACAATCACTGATAAGGATGACATTGATGCGGCTTAATGAGCTAGAAATATTAATTTTTTTCCTGCGACAAATTAAATTCTAAAACATTTTTGTGTATATTGGAAAAATAAATAAAGGCGTTTGACTTATTTGTAGTTAAAAATTATTTCCGATTTAGTGTAAATGGGTATTAAAATGACTAAAATGCAGCATTCTCTCCGAAGCAGTTATGTCTTATGTAAACAATGCACGCGCCATTCAGCCAATGATTCACACCGCGTGCTGTGACAGCACGTGTTAAGGCAGTCATCTATGACAGAGATATTATACGAGACTCGTAATTCTCTGTGAAACAGATTGTATTAATTGCTATAAGTATTATTGGGTAGTTTTGTTTATTGTTATTTTTGCCATCCACGATTGAAGTCTTGGTAGAAAATGATGGAATTTGTTGAATGCCTAATAAAGCCGTAGAGCTATTCCATGTTTAATTTATTTGATTGGAAGCTGCATAATAGCTTCCGGCGTTTTACGACGGAATTATCTAATAAACGTACAGCTATGATTGAAACGAGGCTGTTTTGTTGACATGGAAAACAGGCTCGAAATATTCTTGTGGTGGCAATAAGCTCTAATCATATAACATAGTCGGGTGTATTTTAGGGGCTGGGGGAAGAAATGCCCGAAAAATAAAAATCCGGAGAAAACCTACGACTTTGGACCTGCGACCCTACTCCTCGTCACGTACAACCGGGGAATCGAAACCCCGCCAGTTGACTCGATGACAGACCGTATGATACAGCGCGCGCGTGCGAACCATTCGGCCATCCAACCCCAATTTATATATAAAGATCGGGGTTCGTTTCGATATTTGCTTATATCTCGGTTCGTTTCGATATTCGCGATGGTCCCTGATTGTACGGAAAATCGTGTTTTCAGCGTGTAGTCCCTCTAGAGGTAACAATTTCTATCCGATTAAAAACAAAAAACGTTTAAATATATGACTGTTACACCCTAATGATAGTTGAGTTCAAATTTCGTGATAATCTGACTGGAACTTCTCGACAAAATGGCTGTTCCCTGTATGCAAATAGAGTAAAAGTATGTACTACCAAGGTTGTGGACCATCTAGAAGTCACAATTTTTCACCGTTTTTGATGAAGCTTACAATATATGTTTATATCCAAAAGATCTCGATTTATTTCAATATTCGTGCAAATGGGACTATAACTTCATGGATGATGGCCCCAGTTGTACAAAAAATCGCTTTTTATACACCCACACTGAAATGTCGCCCCGTCCGGCGATCTGTTGGTCCGGCGTCCACAATTGCTTGTGGACGCTCCAGAGGCTAAAGTAGATATCCGATTGACTTTAAATATATACACAGTGTTTAAGGTCATGGGACGAAGAAGACTACTGATTTTCAACAATTTCTGATAATTTCTGCCGGAGTTACGGCCCTTGGTCACTTTGAAAAATCTTGTGGGCGCTCTAGAGGCTAAAGTCAATATCCAATTGACTGTAAATTTATACAGTGTTTAAGGTCATGATACGAAGAAACCTATTGATTTTCGACGATTTCCGATAATTACTGCCAGAGTTATGGCCCCTATGGACACTCTGGAAGCTAAACTTAATACTCGATTGACTTTAAATTTATACACAGTGTTTAAGGTCATGAGACGAAGAACCTTATTGATTTTCAACGATTTCCTTGGTCACTTTGAACAATCTTGTGGAGGCTAAAGTTAATATCCGATTGACTGTAAAATTATACACAGTGTTTGAAGTAATGAGACGAAGACGTCTATTGATTTTCAACGATTTCCGATAAATTCTGTCAGAGTTATGGCCCTTGATCACTTTGAAAAATCTTGTAGACGCTCTAGCTGCTAAATTTAATATAGATTTTAACACAGTGTTTAAGGCCACGAGACAACCAATCGAAACAAATTCTAATCATTACTTAATGGGGTGTTACTCTTAATCAGATTTTCATGTGTTGTAAATGTTTTCATTACTGACAAAAGAAAAAAATATGCGACAATCCTTGTTGACCACACGGACGATTTGGCTGCTGTAGGCGTATGTTTGGATGCCTGGCAACCTATTTCTTTTTTTAGCTTGTTCTCTATCCATCTCTTGCAAAATGTGGGCGTATCTGCCATGTCAACCGTATGTATATTATCTAGAGAGAGGGGTTTTACATAGGCTAAGCCTGTTCCCCAATCTCATTCAGACAAACTGAATAAAATATTGTTTATACCCCCCCCCCCCCGCTTGCTCAATTGCTGGTACATACTGAGGCATACGGCATATGAAATGGGTTCCAATTTAAAGGAGCTAAATCGCTAATATTTGGGACCTAGAAATTGACAGAAATGGGTCGCAACGCATATAATAATGTAATGTGAATGTATATGAACTGATTTACATTCAACCGTTTCTGTTTTTACTGTAATTTCTAATCAGTTATGTTCGGCGAAATACTCCAAAAGTCTCAATTGAATGGCAATCTTTAGCGTCTGGTTATTCCAGTCTACACCGATGATATTTATTGCGCATGCTCTCCAGATAAGAATATGGCGTCACTATTTGACATGACTTGTGGAATATGTCTAGCCGCGTGCTTTGAGTCCCTGGTTTCAAATGGCGCTAAAAACGCATCGTGTACCAATGGTAAAATGTTTATTTTGTCCCGAATATTGGATATCAGAAGCCCATCTTTTCCCTGTAAGATCACAAGACCAATGTTGATTTGAATTGACAAATAATTATTGTTTTCAGTGTCGAAGATTTTTGATGATATTGAGTTAGAGACTTAGCTACTTTAAATTATGCATATATACAAGGTTTTATGTCAAACATACACGTTTAATATGCACAGATGGTACCCCTCTCTTTTACCTAAAGAGAGTCCCGGGCCAGGTTTGAACCTTTCTTCTACCAAATATACACATCATATCAGATGTATTTATTCAGATGGCCTTACAGAAACATACGATAAACAACTCCTTTCATCTTATAAGCGTATGATACAATTTTATCTGCTTTCAGAACCATGTACATGGCGACTGCGTAATGATATACTTGAGACGAAGGCAGTCGATCAAAAGAATTATTCTTTAAAGAAGTGTGTATGTATTATTTCTCTTTTTGACATGAGCTTTTCAGCAGAGGGCATGTAGTTCTTTTATTGTTCAATAATTTCTTGTAATGGCTTTCATTTTCAGCAGCCGTGGTTTCGTACAATAGTAATCATGTTTTGACGTGATTAAAGAGCCGCTATTCACCTAATCACTAGCATGTCTTTATTGTATGTCTGTAAATAGTGATTTATGATATTATCTTTTATGCTGGGTAGTGCCTGTACTGGTTTCAAAACTTGTTTTCTCTTTCCAACAAGAAAGGGTTCTGTTTTCTGTGGATCTTTTTTTAAAGGGTGGCTGATTTTTATCAGGGAATAAAATTGTTCAGTTGTTATCAGCCCAGATATCATTTTCATAACATTCTGCTGAATCCGAAATAACAAAAAGAATTTCCAAACTCTTCCCAACGACATACGCATATGTAAAGCCTGAACGACATTTGGGGAATTATAATCCTTTACAAATACAAAATTGTGAAATAAGAATCTCTATAGAGAATATCAGTCCATTGATAAATTAAATAAAAATGTCTACATTCGACATTCTCTACTGATTAACGGATTGGTATCAAATTAAGTCAAGGCTAACTATAATCAGTTCTGAAATCTTTTGATGGGGCCACTTTCAACACGCTGAATCCAATCCGGGAGATGGTAATTTGGATTTTCATTTCTTAATTAAATGTTAAATAATCAATTTAAGTGGATTTAGCGCGGATTAAGCCGTAAAGAATTAGAAATTTTCCGAAACATGCAAATGCCAATCAGCAGCTTTAAAAATGTACTAAGTGTGAAACTGCCAAGAAAACATACAGCTTTATGCTGCCACTCCAGAGAACAACATCTCTATCACAGATGACCCCAGTGTCAAATGACAAGATAATTTGAGTTGTCGGGAACCTGGTAATATGCACAC